GTCTTTTTGCAGTTTAATATTCACAGACACAGTCCATATATATATATATATATATATGTACTGACCTGTTTTTTATTTATTCATCAAAAATAAGACAAATTCCATGAAATTCCACGTTATACAGTAAATTCCGTTTTTATAACTGGACTCCGCGATTCCGTCCATGTTTTCTGCATCGCGGAAATCATAAGGCCCTACTAATGTAGCAAACGAATATGATAAGCTCATTGTGAGAGTAAAAGGACATTGTTGTTTAGTTTATTAGCATTGAGTCTCTCCAACTAGGTGACAACGTAGCGTTAAATCACCATTCAACAGACTCAAGCCACCACCGCACTGCCGTCTATTGGACTGCAGAAAGATACTAACTTTACAATCTGCTACGTTACTGACTGTACTGACAAACTATGCTGGCACCGTGTCTGTGCCGCAATAGGACGCGAAAAAGCGACCGTTGAAAATCATTTGAACTTTGTGTCAGCACGTCATAAATAGAACGAGGCGAGGCATCAGTTTACTGCATCCAATGTAGACAACATCACTGATTATAATGGGTTCTATTCTACACCGGACGTGAGCGGCGCGGCGCGACAATATAGAATAGAAATTCTATTGTATTTTGTCGAGCCGCGTGATGTGATGTGACCGATGTGATAAGCATGAGTTCTGAGCCACGGACCGGCCGTTATAAACACCAGCATTGACTAAGTGGCCGCGATCAGCTCCAGTGGCCGTAACACAGGCTTTAATGCGCCGCAGACGCGTGCCGTGATGCGCAGATCAGCTCTAGTCTCTAACGTCACTAAATCTGCTGTTAAAAATGAACCATCCATTCATCATATCATCATGCAAAACTAAGAATTAGAATCATTGTAATGTGACGATCAAATATAGGTGCGGGTGGATAAGTTGAAGCAGTGGACTCGGGTAAAGTTTGAGCTCATCCGCGCATCTCTACACTACGCTGACCTAGGTCGCCAGTAGCAAACAATGGAGTGCGCTCTGCTGGACAAACTAAGTAATTGCACCATTCAGAAACATTTAATCTGCATTATACGTTCTGTAAAAAAAATGTTAATATCGGCGGCATATTCACAGATACAGATGTATCTGCGACAGGCTCATATCGGCCGATGATATCGGCAAAACGATATATCGGTCGGGCTCTAATAAATACATGTAAATATTTTCAAAATATATACTCTATGTGTATTTATACATAATAAATATACACAATACACACACATATATTATGTAAACAAAAACTTTTATTTTGGATGTGATTAATCGCGATTAATCGTTTGACATTTACAAACCCCAGTTTGGGAAACCTTGATGTAATATAATGTTTAATGCACTTCATGTGGTTAATTACAAGGAATGGAATATGTTTTCTTTCTCTTGGTATATTTTTATCAATATAATACAAGTTTATCCTATTTAAATCAATGTGATGAACAAGTTAGGTCAAAAGTAATCTAAAAGTAATCCAAAATTAGTCTAAACATATTACCTAAAATGTGTAATGTAATGGATTATGTTACTAACTACAATTTTTGTCATGTAATCTAGAATCAGTAAAAGACTACAATTTGTAAGTAATCTACCCAGCACTGAGTAGGTTGGATTCAAACCTGTGTCCTCAAACTGCAAAAACAAAAGTCATTTTCTAAATAAAATTCATCAAAATAAACCGATCTTGGCTTGACGTGCTGCCTGAAAACTTAAAAGAGATTCAAAATGTTCTAGATTCAAAATGCTGCTAAGGTGTTCTGAGTGGTTGCTAGGGCTTTACTAAGGTGTTCTTGGTTGTAGCTATGGTGTTGCTAAGTTGTTGCAAGTATGTTTCTACAATTATAGACAAAATAGATCCAGAAAAAGACACACATCAACTCTAATACATGAAGCACATGGCTGGATGCTCTTACCGGCGTGCTTGCCTTGCCCGTCAGGATGGTCCTTGCTTTGGATTTGTTCATGTTGAAGTTCTTCAGGTAGGCCTCGTAGATCTGCTTGGCCAGGGTTTTCTGATCGGCCAGTTGCGGGTCCTCGACCTCTCGTTCCCCCGTTAGGATCTCCGCCTTTAACCTCAGCTTCTCCGACTGTGGCATTCGCCCAAAGCGGATGGCTGTTCGCAGGATACAAACAAGAACCTCAACTTAGAGAATACAACCAAACGAATGTCCCATGTAAGACATATAATTATGGCTGCTCACCTAATAGTCGACTAAACATTAGTCAATGAGATGAAGCTTAAACAGTTAGTTCACCCAAAAATGAAAATTCTGTCATTAATTACTCACCCTCATGTCATTCCAAACTCGTAAGACCTTCGTTCAGCTTCAGAACACAAATTAAGATATTTTTGATGAAATCCGAAAGCTTTCTGACCCTCCATAGACAGCAACACAACTACCACATTCATTCATGTTCAATCATGGTACTCTTGATAAAGGTGGCGGACTGACCCGAAAGAGAAGAAATTGTTGAATAAAGTTGTTATTTTTGTTTTCTTTTCGCACAACATTCATTCATGTTCAATCACGGTACTCTCGATAAGGGCGGCGGACTGACCCGAAAGAGAAGAAATTGCTGAATAAAGTTGTTATTTTTCTTTTCTTTTCGCACAAAAAGTATTCTCGTAGCTTCATTACATTACAGTTGAACCACTGATGTCACATGGACTATTTGATCAAAGTCCTTACTACCTTTCTGGGCCTTGAACGTGGTAGTTGCGTTGCTGTCTATGCAGGGTCAGAAAGCTCTCGGATTTCGTCAAAAATATCTTAATTTGTGTTCCGAAGATGAACACATTTTTTTTTTTTAGTTATTATTTTTATGGGCTTTTTATGCATTTTATTTTTTTTAATTGAGATACGAAAGTAGAGAGACGACAGGAAAGCAGGATCGGCAAAGGACCTCGAGATGGGAATCGAACTCGGGTCACCGTGAGCGCAGTTATGCTATGTGTCAACAAACTAACCACGAGGCTAACGGCGCTGACAATGAACGAATGTCTTACGGGTTTGAAACGACAGCGTGAGCAATTAATGACAGAATTTTCATTTTTGGGTGATCTATCCTATTTAGACCTGGCTATACTTCTGTTCTGCCTCGTGCACAGCCGCATCCAAATATACTCAACCGCGGATGAGCGTGAATAGATGAGTTCGACTGTCTCAACATTCACCTTGCGCCTGCACTATCGTACGCGGCCTTAGTCGACTGAAATTTTATTAAGTCGATGAGTCGCTGAAGTAAAAAGGTCTGTGTTCATGGCGGACAGATCGTTAACGGCTGGTCTTTGAGGTAATTACTTTATATCGTGCAGGAAATCAAAACACTCGCCTGTCATTCATCGACCTAAAATATTGCTTATCATTTGATTGTGAAACATAAGCAGTAGCAGCTTTACACGGCTGCTCACTCTAACATTAATCTAGATATATGTGCACTATTAAATGCATGTCCGAGTGTTTGTGCAAAGTGTGGAAGCTATTAGCATGGATATTAGCGTGCAGCTATTAGCATGCAGGATATTAGCGTGCAACTATTAGCATGCATGATATGGAGGCGCCGGCGCAAATACTGGCATTTTTTCCTGATAAACAACTTAAAATACGACGTCATTTTTGCTCATACAGATAAGAGTAATACATCATTCGAAGGGGAATCTCCTCAACCACCACCAATGTGCAGCATCCACCTGGATAATAATTTATTTATTTAACAATTCTTCACAATCGACATAATCAGTGTTGTTTACGTTCGGGGGAGAAAGCGCGTGCATGAACATAATCTGCATAATCAGCGTTGTTTACGCTTAGGGGAAAGCGTGCATATGCATTGTGATACTCTCTAAAATGGCGGAAGACGTAACTTGGGGGAGAAGAATTGTTAAAAAAATTATGTTATTTTTGTTTTCTTTGCGCTCAAAAAGTATTCTCGTAGCTTCGCAAAACTGAAGTTGAGCCACTGATGTCACACAGACTGTTTTACCGATGTCCTTATTATGTCTCTGGACCTGGGAACATTGCAGTTGCATTGCTGTCTATGCAGGGTCTGAGAGCTCTCGGATTCCATCAAAAATATCTTAATTTGTGTTCCGAAGATGAACGAAGGTCTTACGGGTTTGGAACGACATGAGGGTGAGTAATGAATGACAGAATTTTCATTTTTGGGGGAACTATCCCTTTAAGTAATTAAATGAATATAAACATGCAATTAGTCGACTAATGGCTTAAAAGAGCGACTATTAGTCGACTAGAAGAATTTTTAGTCGGGGGCAGCCCTACTTATAATGCTGCAGCCTCTGTAGGAACCTCTCTATATTTTGGAACGAAACCGATATCTGAAGTTTCTCCAGTGATATGCTGATAAAACTTGACGTGATCATTTGTGGTTAGTTCTTGACAGCCTTCCAAGAGTTCAAATAACATAAAAGTTAATCTCTGCCTGACTACTAACAACCTGCTGTGTGACTTACTTGGCATGACGTTCAGCGTGCTTTTGTTCAATATCCCTATTGTTAGTTTGATGCAAGTGTGGATAACATAAAAGTGGACTGTAAGCTGTGTCTGTAAACCTTCACTCTGAGGATTCTCTTGCAAAACAACCACATGCGCTGCTGATCATGGATGATTAATATTTGCTGAAATCCAAGGCCACTATTTACAGATTTTGTCAGATCAGGATGTCTGGTGCCTTAGAAACTTGCCCAGAGGAATTGAGTAACATGAGTTTCAATCTGGACCGTGTTCAAATGCAGTTTTGAACATTGGACAGGCAGAGCAGCAGTAGGTATTATGGTGTCGAACATTGATTCAGCATTTCAGAAAATAGATGTATTTAAAACAAAACGAGCGACACTTGTGAAGTGGAGACATCAAACTATTCAGAGAATGGAACTGAAACAAATATATATACTATTTATTTCACCAATACAAAGAAACTTTGTATTTATTTTTCCATTCCATTCTCTGAATAGTTTGATTTTTCCACTTAACAAGTGTCGCTGGTTTTGTTTTAAATAAATACTTTTGATTTCTTCTTCCATGCACACTGTTGATCGTGTGAAGCTGCTCCAGAATAAATACACAACATATCAGAAACTAGATTTAGCCAGTGGTGCCAATGCAAAACTATCTTTTATGATGCTGAAGAGTTGCTCTAAATGATTTTATGTGGTTGCTAGTGTGTTTTGGATAGTTTCTTAGGTCTCTACTGTAAGTAGTATATGGTGCATGCAAATGCAGACATCTTTAAAACCTGAATACAATCCTAATGCAGACGCCATAATCTCCAACAGCTAATAAGCTTACAGTCCCGGCCTGCAAACCTCCACTGCATGACACACAAATGCATGTTTCGAAAAAGAAAAAAAAAACACTTCTGCATGCACACGCATACATGTTGAAACTAATCTCCATGAATATGTATTGTTATGGCATATTAAGATCACGGTTCAAAACTTTTCCACATTAGATGATCAATTCAGAACACTGTCAGACTTTCTTGCTTTTTTTCCAATATGTCGCATAACATGTTTTTTATGAGATTGTGAAGAACATTTACAGATTAAAAAAAAAAAAGAGTCCAGCAACAGGATTGTTGTTATGTTGAACATGAACACAAAAACTACACAGTAGAAAGCGAAATAGAAAAAAGCCTATTTTTGGGGGCTTGCAAGGTGTAAAATAGGTCAAAAGGTAGAAAGAAGTCTCTTCTGCTTACCAAAGCTGCATTTATTTGATTAAAAATACAGTACAAACAGCAATAATGTGAAATATTATTACAATTTAAAATAGCTGTTTTCTACTTGAATATATAGTAATGTAATTTATTCCTGTGATCAAAGCTGAATTTACAGCATTATTACTCCAGTCTTCAGTGTCACATGATCCTTCAGAAATCATTCTAATATGCTGATTTGAAGCTTAAGAAACATTTCTGATTATTATGTTGAAAACAGTTGTGTACAATTTTTTTCAGGATTCTTTGATGAATATAAAGTTCAAGCACAGCATTTATTTGAAATAGAAATCTTATGTAACATTTTATATGCCCCTTTTGATCAATTTAATGCAAAAAAAGGTTTATGCAACAGGATGAAGGGAGTGGCGAGGGTCGCTGGTTTTAACTTTCACTGGGATGAGCAAGTCTGAAGCAGATGCCTATTCTAAAGCAAGCATATGTGTTTATATCATCTTACGATGTGTGTCAACCTGAAAGATAAACCGCTTTAATAAAGAAAAGAATGGAACAACCAATCCCTGTTTATTTAGTAACACAAGTCTCTTTTCCAACACAATTTATAGTGACTATTTCTATCAAAACGACCAAAGACACCATAAAACTTGCTAATTTTAGCAGCTAACCTACATCGCTTTGAGGAATGTTTTCAAGTGTCCACAGTTCAGATTTCAGACTTCGACCATAGCTCTATTTCAGCACATGCCTTCGCTGGCCATAAAGCCTGCATAAGATGAGTGCTTCAGCAGGGCTGGACGTGTTAGCGGCCTTAATAAATGATGACCTTTGACTCCAGACTAAAAACAATGAAGAGGTCATCGCAGGAAGTCAATGCACTGATATCTCAAGGACAAAACAACCAAACACTCTCACGTTAGCTCATTTAGTCAAAGATTATCCAGAACGTTGCTGCAACATCAACCCATACATACGCTGTTATATTTTCAGTGCAGTATTGGTGTATCTATATATTTTCTGTCTCTGAATTGAACTTTAATAAGCAAATAATGGTCATGTGTTGTCAAATTACAAACTTTACAAATCACCATAAAAGTAGCTCATACTACAAATGTGCTATTTTTCAAGACATCTAACGCCAAACAACAGTTTTTGTGAGGAACGGACTGAAATGTAAATTTTGCAATTCCTCAAAAAGTTGTTCAGATGGACAGTATTTATTTTGGACCTTGCTACAACGCTTGAAGATTTTAGCCCTATTTGGATGGTAATTTCTCATAGGGAGAGTGTAAAAATAAAATAAAACTCATGCATTCGCATGGCATTTAATTCATGGTGAAGAAGCAGTAAACAAAATTTCTGTTATTGCTTAGACAAATAATAAGTTCATATTAAATGTAATAATAGGAAATACCATCCTATTTATTATTTAATTATTTAAATATCCTATTTATAGTTTAAATGGCTTTCTACTTGCATTTTATCTCTCAAAATGTCATTTTAAAAATGTGTACATTACATAAGCATACTAGTATTTACATAAAGTAAACTCATGACTCGACTACAAATCAGGGTTATTGTTGTTAACTAAAACGAAAACCATAAAAAACATTTTCACTACATAAATGTTAACTGAAATAAAATTAAATTTACAATAACTTATTATATTTCAGCTGTTTGTCAAAGCATTATTCCTCATTTTCATTTGAACTTCAAGTATTACATTACTAAACATTACTAAAACTGAAATAAATTTAATACAAATCTAGACAAAAAAATAACAGACATGACAAAAGCACAAAACAAAATGACTAAAACTTCAACTAAAATTAAAGTGAAAACAGAAAATAGAAAAATAGAATTAAATTACAAACACCAATAAAGTTATAATAGTATCTCAGTGATACTAAAATAACACTGTAACTGCAATAACACTGATTAGTTGTGCAAACCCTAATATAAAATGTAAATAGAAAAATATTATCAATACCATAAATAAATAATTGCAAAAAAATGTTAAAAAATATATATATATTTGTTAAAACTAATAATGTCTTCACATGATTTATTATTCTTAACAACTTGCATTTGCTGTAGTGAAGCAGTGACGTAATATTATTCTTGTAAACAGTTTCCAGCATTTCACTAATAAAAGTGTCCATATTTAAAATATGTGCACATTACCATGAAGTGCAACAGTTCGCAGTGATCTATGTAACGACTTTAGATATATAGATTAGATATATAGATATAGATCCATTCCCATAAACTGAGAGAAGTGGATTAAATTACCAAATAACCTTAGTGTTTGTCCAAATAAATAAATGTATATATGAAATCACTGACTAGCCTCTGCAAATGTTGAAATTAGATGAAAAACAATGGAATGAGCATCAGAAGTGGGCTTTTGTTGGTCACACTCACCACTGTGGGACATGCCCACCGACAGGCACTTCTGAAAGCGACAGTATTGGCACTTGTTTCGGTTCTTCTTTTGGATCTTACAGCGTCGTTCACATTTATCGTACTCCAGCTTGAGGCGAATGGTCCGGCGGAAGAAACCCTACAAGACGGAGAAACAGAACTCTGTTTGAGTTCATTCTGAAAAACCAGAATAGCACGCATTCCTACAAGCATTCCCAGACCAACCAGATCAATGTAAGTTCAACGCTAGCTGTAAATATCGGTTTCGTTCTGTACTGTACCCCATAAAGACAACTCCTTCTATTTTGAGTTCATATCTCGCTATTAAACGGGCCAGAAATTCATGTACACAATCTAAACCAGGCGCTTCTGGAAATAGCTTGGCAGCACATTCGCAAGCTGTGTCTGTCCTCATTTGTCCTTGGATCTGTCGGGGTTTCCTCTCTTAGAAACACAGCTTCTGGTGACAGAGATTCAAAATAGGAACGAGGCTGACAATCTGACCCATGCTTAACATTAGGAGTGAACGGCCTGATCAAAACCTTATATAATGGAAATTATATGCATGGAAGTATAGTCATGCTTGCTGGAGAAGCATAATATTTTTTATATATATTAAATAACCATGTTGCTATACCTATTTTTACATAATGCAGTTCATTTAATATTTTACAAATGGAAAGTACTAAAATTATTATTGCTTTAATAGATTTTAAATGTTTATTTAAATTAATTTAAAGTTAAATGAATGCAAATTAAATTAAATTACATTTTAATTTAATAATACATTTTTTTCTTTACTTGTTTTGGACACGCCTTGCTCTGTATTTTTGTGTTTTCTGATGCTCTTACATGTAAATATAGTAAATATATCAACACAAAATATGCTTTTAAATTAAACGACATTTATGTTATGTTTATATTATATTAGACGTTTAAAATGTTACAAAATTTCAAATAAATGCTGTTCTTTTGAACTTTCTATTCATCAAAGAATCCTGAAAAATAAAATGTATCATGGTAATAAAATTTATTCAAAAAAATAGGAAGCAGCACAACTGTTTTCAAAATTGATAATTAAAAATGCTTCTTGAGCAGCAAATCAGCATATTAGAATGATTTCTGAAGGATCATGTGACACTGAAGACTGGAGTAATGATGCTGAAAATTCAGCTTTACATCACAGGAAGAAAGTATATTAATTATATATTTTAACACATTCGAATAGAAGACTAGAATAGAAGAAGTTCATTTTAATTCGAATAATGGCCCGGTTTCACAGACAGGGCTCAGACTAAGCCAGGATTAGGTCATAGTTCAATAAGGACATTTAAGTAATTTTGATCAACATGCCTTAGAAAAAACATCACTGGTGTGCATCTTGAGACCAAACAAAGGCACTGATATGTTTTAAGATCAGTCAGTGCAAGTTTCTTTCAGTTGAAACAGCTCAGAATTACACTTTAGTCTGGGACTAGGCTTAAGCCTTGTCTTTGAAACCGGGGGAATATTTCATAATTTTCATAGTATTTTTATAGTATTTTTGATCAATTGAATGCAGCCTTGGTGAACAAAAACACAAAAATATCTTACCAACCATTACCAAAAAAAACAACATTTATATTCAAACTTATTTGACGATGAACCGCTGCTGAAAGCCATAAACTCCAGCTTAACATCAGAGCGTTATTCCCTGGAAAGAATAAACAGTTCCTGAGGTCATAAATGCATCCAAAGAATGAAATCGAGTGTCTTGCACAATCTGGCGAAGTCCTGAAGACGACCAGCGGTCTGCCAGCAGAGCAGAGGTTTAAGTGCAGGCTGACAAGAAGGGACGGGGCTGTAAAAACTAATCGCTCTTGCTTCACTCATATTGAGCCATTTCGTCCCTAGAAACACTGCGGTTTCGAAAGGGAGATTAGATGGGGAGATACGGAGGGAGACGGAGAGGCACCAGGGACAGGAGGAAGAGGAGGAGAGGTCGAGAGTGTCCAAAACATGACTGAGCAGATGGAGACGCAGACGAGTCAGGTATTAGGAAATGGACAGTCAGGGCTCAAGATTCTGATTCCAAAAGCTATTTTTGATGTAAAGCACATCAATTAAATTCTACATTAATATTAAGGATGGGAATCTTTAGGCACCTGACGATTCCATTCGATCTGATTCTGGAGTCACGATTCGATTCCCAAACAATTCTTCACATAAAAGATTTTTAAAAAAACATTCAAGTCTCCCAGTCACTGACTTTCACTAAAATTGTGTGATTTACAATCCCCTGTTGTTAAAAACTGTTTAGATAAAACCA